ACCTTCACATGTGATTTGACCACCTGTCCTTTAAGCCTTTGAAATCTGTGTAGCTGCAAGTAGAGGACCGGGGGTGCGACCGATAAACCATGGATTCTGTCCAGTCCACGATGCCAATCATCAATCAAAGATTGAATCCTCAACGTGTGTCGTGCTCCGCGTTGTGGAGGGGGCAAATGCAGCACAAGTGGATGGATACACAGGCCTTCATCAAGATGTCTGGATTCCCCAATCATAGTGGGCTGTCGCGCCTGCCATGATCCTGCAAAAATGCCAAAATCTGTTTTATGAAGCATATGGGCTAGGAATTCACATACATCATGTTGCCGATGAGCCTCTCCCCATCCTTCCAGCATGGAAGTCCATCTGCTATCCTGAATCAAGAGAATTGGTTGCATAGGAGGCTGTGAAAGAACGTCAATAAAGATCTGAGCTGCCTCACCCTGCAAAGAGCCCAGCGGAACGTCCTTTGTCTCCAAAAGCCACAGAACAGCCTGCACCGAAGCATTCATGTAGCACTGCGATCCTCTGTTTTGCAGAACCACATGTGTGGCCTTGTTCAGCCCCGGCGGCCATACAGCATGTCCAGGATCCGCTGCTCTGCTGGGCTTCTGGCGAGACTGTCGGTCTTGTAGGCCATTCCCACCAGCTGAAACACCACATTGCCCTGAAGCATCTTGATGGTATCCCACATGGTTACTGCACTGTGGCTTCTCAATGAAAGATCCATCTTGTACGTGGCTGCAGAGCTCATCGTCTCGGTCACCTTCCTGGTGCAACAGAACCTGGTCACAATGGGGTGACGAAGACACTGAAGGATCGTGGCGAGGTGGTCCAAGATCTGGTCGTCTGGGATCGGTGCTCGGGCCTTGTCGACCTCCAAGTGTTTCAAGGTTCTGTTCCATACCTGAAACCTCCAGCCCTTGTCGTCCCTCCAGCCCTGGTCTGTCACCCTCTTCAGCTTCTCCTGGCTCGCAAGTGTGCTGTTGAGACGATCGGTGAGTTCTCTGAAAAGAGCTATGGCCAGCACCATGCGAAGCGGCATCTGCCCCATCTGCCATTGAGGCTCCGCTTCTTGCTTGGCCTTGAAAGCCATTGCAGCCTGATAGAGGTGGTGCATGATCGAATCCTGACCTGGCTTCAGGAAATAGTACAAACGCCGTGTCTTGACGAAGGATTCGTAGTTCTTCCTGTTGCTTTAGCACCTGCTTTGCCAAAGAAAACACCAAGGGATCTCTGTCCGGGCTCCGTTGCTGGTGGAATGGAGTGTAGCGAGGAGGTTGTCGTTGATCTTCGTTGGGATGGCGAGGTCGCTTGTTCGGGGCCTGTGCAAGGGTCGAGAAGGGGCTCGGTGTATTCCGCAGGTTCTCTGTGCCCAGAGGAGGAAGGTCCCCCCGTTCGTGAACTGACCCGAAGAATGCATCCATCTCCTCGTCCACTTGGTACATTGGCCTGGTGATATGCGCACATGAAAGCACACTGCCAGAGTGTAGTGCATTTGTGAAGATGTGCCCTCCAGTCCTTGTGATTTCTGCTGCAGAATGGCACTTGCTGCAAGGTGTGGCTCGCTGGCTGATAAGTTGCTGTGTGGTCTTCTGCAGCTGTGAGTACAAAGTGGAGTGCGAATGCTGATAGTGTCGTTTCATAACCTTCTGTGAAGCAATCCACTGTCCACAGATAACACAGTTCTGCAACATACAGTCGGTAAGTTGCTTTTGCCCAATGAAAGCATTCAGACCCTTCTCAACCAAGCGCTGAACCGGAGATTGCTGTATCAAAGGAATGGTTGAATGGGCAGGATCAGGAGCACTGAGATCATGGCACCCATCCGACTTGACACTGTCATGCATGTCCATCTTTGTCAACTCAATTGCGACGGAAGCATTCTGACTGTCCGTTGGGGCATGTACCTGTTGTTGGTGTGTCCCTTTAGCCTGTATCACAAGGTCAATAGCTGAGTCCGAGTTTGCCTGGCTTGTCTCCGGTGGCTCCTGATGCTGTGGTTGCTTGGGTGCGGGAGCATGAGCAGCAGGGGAGGCGGTACCAGGGCAGGAATTGTTGTTGATGTGGTTCCTGAGGGTTTGCCACCGGCTGAACTTCTTGCGACATCCGGCACACTGAGGCATTCCGCCGATAGCGTGCCGACTTTTGTCAAAGATATCAACAGCTTGCTCAGTGATGTGATGTTTTCTTCTGGCATGTATCTTCAAAGCAGCTGGGTTGACAAACTGTTCATCACATACTGGACAGGCCCAAATCTCACGCTCAGCATCAGAATTCGGCCCGTCGTCCGTTGCCGCTGAATGCAGCGAGGTGGAGATGGCCTCATCCCAGTCTGGTACCAGCATCCAATCCTCTGGGTTCTGGTGTCCAAGCTCCCGACTGTGTGCCTTGTTCAGAAGCTGCAGGGCTGACTCAATCTTGTATTTCATCATGATTTCCTCGTGAGTAGTTCCAGTAAGAAAAGCCTGATCTGAGACTATAGCCCTGACATGCCTCATGATCGCCTTTTGGAGCGCCCGGATGTGGCTGGATCTGAGACAAAGACAATGCATGGCATACATCATCGTGGAGAGCACACAACTCTTCCATAAGCTGAGCTTGTAGGCTACCGACATGTGTCTGGTGTGCAGTATAGAAGCCATGGCCCACCTTCGTTGATGAGCCTTGGAGAGTCTGTGCTGCACTGTTTGTGACTCAAAGCCATCATATGAGATGACCATGCCTAAGTACTCCGCTTTGTCCACCAGCATGATCCACGTGGTGGGGTCACCTGCTGATAGAAGAAGGTGTCGATCAGTACCTTGTTTGCGAACATACTTAGCCTGGATTTTGTGCTTCATTGGACCAGTGAGGCTCATGATCGCCTGCGTCTTGTTGTTGTTGACCTTCATGCCCATCCGCCTGAAGACGGCGAACACCAGCTTAAGCTTCGCTATGGATCTTTCGAATTGTTCATATGAGCGAAACTCCCATTGCAGATGCGAGTCATCCGCATACAACGTGGCATGCTCAGCGCACCACTTGTCTTGTAGACATCCGATTTGTAGAGTCGGACGGGTTGCCTGCACTCGCGCGTCGATAGCACGGCTGAGCAATGCAGTGAATGCGGCCCACAAGATTGGGCTTCCGATGCGGCCTTGTCGAAGGCCCCAAGAGGGCCAAATGTCCTTTTCCAGGCCCCGGTGCTGGAACCGATATCTAACCTGCCCGAGCCATTGCAGCAGAAGCTCTTGAATGGATGGCTCGACCTGTGCCAACTCCATCGCCTCCTTGATGGCACCCCAAGGTACCAAGTCAAACGCCGCGGACAAGTCCATGGAGACTTGCAGTCCCCCGGAGTTCGGTATTTCCTCCAGCTGCTCTTTCTTTTGATGGATTGTTAGACGGTGCTGAGAGCTGGCGGCCCGGACAGAGGAGCAGTGTCGATAGACCCTCTTGAGGGCCGTAGTTGTGCTCCTGTGTGGAACATACGCACATTGAGGCCACTCTTGGACCAATCTATGGATTTGGTCCTTTGCCTGAGCGATAATAACCAGTCGCATGATGCTCTTTCCGATAGGGTGCTGGAGGCCGATTGGCCTCCAATCCAAAGGTGCATCATTCTTATTCTTCGGCTTGGGGAGCAATGCTACTGAGGCGTCGGCCCATCGTTGTGGTACTGCAAGTGTGTCCTGTCGCCATCGTTGATTGATTTGGTTTGTGATGAAGTCAGCTACCTCCAAGGAGCATGCTTTCCACACAGCCGAAGGGGCAGCCTCCGAAGGTACAGCTTTACGAACTGGCAGATGGTCAAGTTCGAATTGTAGGGCACTGGCTGAGATCTGGACCGGATGCTGTTCCCTGTGTTTTCCTGTTGCTTGTGGAGCCTGTCGGGCCCCATATCTGTCTCCAAACTCAGAGATGATCCAGTTCAACTCGGCCTCCGGTGCCATGATGTGTCCATTCCTGTATAGCTGCAGTGTCTTCCGCTTTGTTTTGGGCGCAAGGGCTTTAACCACTTTCCAGACCTTATGCATGTCGCCGCTGTTGGCAGCCTGTTGCGCCTGCAGAAGCAGGTCACGTCGCCACGCCTTACTTCTGGCTCGGGATCGGCTTTTGTGCACCTTGTGAGCCTGCGTGAACCGTACCCATTGCCGCCATGCATGGAAGACACCTGTGGCGGTGAAGGCTAGAGACCTCATGTCACGAAAGAGAGCCCACATATGCCTAGCGCTGTTTGCAAGTTGGTAGTCGGCCTCTGTGACTGTAGTTGGTCGCCGTGCTGGGGGATAGTGCCGGCTGGCTATGTGCAGGATTCCTTCCTCGAGGGTGTCCATGTCTGTCCATTGTTGTGCCTGTATGCCCTGCCGCACCTCCTGTCGTAGAGCTCGTAGTCGTGGGACTTCTTGTGTAGCCCTCATGTCAGATATGAGGTCTGCGACGTCCACTTTAGACTTGTGGGGAGGAGATTGCCATTTGTTGTATGGTACTGAGATCTGGGCGAGCACCGGATGATGCTTGGCCCCGTCGCGCCAACATGCCACAGGGAACTGTGGTAGCACCTCAGCGTGTTTAGCACGATTCCTAGCATGACATTGCTTGCAGAAGATGTAGTCGATTTGGGAGGCCGACTCGCCAAAGGTGAAAGTCGCGAGCTGTCCATGCGTAGGCCTGTGCCAGGTGTTCAGTGCTGTCAAGGCATATGTGGAGAGTATGGCCATCAGGTCCTCGTTGTCTTGCTGTCTAGCCGGGGATGGTAGAACCCACTTGCCACACACGTTCTCCTGTGTCATGCAGGTTGAGTTCATGTCTCCTGCCATGAAGATCGAGTGCCTGGAGGGGATGCCGCGAAGGGTGGAGTGGAGCTTCTTCAGGAAATGCTGCCTGCGCTCCGGAGTCAATTTGTTGTCATTGGCCGTATACTGATACAGATTAAGAACATCTATGGCGCACGCCTTGTTGATGCGAACATGTAGCATGCGGCCGGGGTGGACGATATTAAACTGAAGCTCGGCTCTGGCTGCGACCTTCGTGGAGATCATAATGAGCACACCGCCGTGGACGTCCTCTTTGGCCTTGCCTGCCGAATGAATGAAATGAAAATCTGGCCCTGTCCAGTTTGCATCGTAATTCCAGCGTGCTTCTTGAATGCATACGATGTCCAACATGGCGTCCTTGGAGTACGTCTCAAGTTCGCGGAAGACCTGTGCATGTAAGCCTCCACTGTTCCAGCTGAGGATGCGCAAAGTCTTGAGCGCCGGTTGTTGTTGACGAGTCCTGCTCAGAGAGTTTGTCTGTATTTGAACTGGCCTGAACCATTGATGTGAGCGCCACACTCCCCGGTAAAATGCTCCTCCTTCCCTGCATGCTCGGGCGAAAGCCCGGCGGTATGACCGTTTGGCGCACTGAGAAATGCCTGGATTTTTGGGCAAATTAGCCACCCGCTGTCCCTCTTGCTTTGTCGCAATGACTTCAGGTATCCTAGAGGGATAGATACCAACCCTCACGTCAGTATCCATGGCACACACCGTTGAACTGCACATCATCAGTAGAAGCAATGCAAGCATGTGATATGACACTGTCGTCGCAGTAGTAGTAGTAGTAGTAGTAGTAGTAGTAGTAGTAGTAGTAGGAGTCGTCGTCGTCGTCGTGGTGGTAGCAGTGGTAGCAGTGGTAACAGTCGTAGTCGTGATAGATGTCGTTGTCGT